TCGATGGCCAGATAAATGGCATTTTATTAGTTGGCTACTTACCAGGCTCACTGCCAACGTAAGTCGCCAATGGCCAATGGCGAATGGCGAATGGCCAATAGCTGGCAGCTTAATGTCAGTGGCACAATGTTTGGGCCATGTTTATTGGGATTAGTTGGCTGAAATTATGACCAATTTGTCGGGTTCAATGAGATGCAGAGGCCCCTTTCAAGTCAATTGGATGCACAGAGGCTCGCAAGTGCTGGAGGATCCATAATCCATAGAAGGCGCTACGCGAGCACTTATTTTGCGTACATTTTTGGCAACAGAAATAAAATTAAGGCCTTACACAGATAATGCCCCATCAACGCACTTTCCACCGCTGCCCGCCGGTATTCAATGCAAATCTGTGCTCACGAATCGAGTGGCCCGCTGGTGAGTTACATGGCTTGGGTTATTCCTGGGTTCCTGTTGCTGGGTTCCTTGGTTCCTTGGTTCCTGGGTTAATAGAAAATTTATAATGCCAGCGAGCCATAAATTTGCAAAACATCCACCCACATGCAACGATAGATGGCAGGCCAAGGAGCCTTTTTGTGTGGGAAATAGGCATAAAAACGCTGTAATTTGCAGTTGACAAATACGCAAAACTCCTTACTGAGCTCGGCCTGCAAAAATTAACTCATATTGCAAGTCGGTGGCTTTGGGTGATTTCGATTGAGGTGGGGCGGAGTGGGGCTTTGTACACCGTAAATTCATAATACCCATTTGTACGACAGACTTATTCAAATAAGAAATTGAATCCATATTCACTGAGGAAGAAGCCTTTGCAGATATGCGCTATACACATATATGGAGAGAACACATATATGTGTTTATTATACTTACTTAGTGCTGGTTCATTTGGCTGAGTGTATAGGAGCAGGAGCAGCCTCAGCTCGAGAGGCACGAATGATTTATGCCCGCAGTGCGGCCTACGAAAATGTGTAGTGGCTAAGGCGGGATGAGGAGCGGGACGAAGACGGGAACGGGAACGGAGACGGGACGGGACGGGAGTTGCCACAATAGCAAGGGGTAGTGGGAGGCTCTGTGCGCCGGCGAGAGTGTTTTGCCCCCCTGCACCCGCTGAATGGCCCCCGCCACTGCCACATCCCCTATCACCGGGAACATGCCACTCTGCTGGTTTTCCTACCTGTTGTGGCTGCGCCCCAGGCTGCAATTGTCTGCTTAAAAGCGCTCATTCTGTCCACAATGAAGCCACATAACTTGGCCGCAGTTACCGTCTGTTACCCATGGCCACTGTGCCCCCCATTCCCGCCGATGTGATGATTTATTGCGGATCCCTGGCTGCCCTCGGTCCATGCTCCGTTGCTCCTTGGGCGAACCCAGCACGGTAGCTGCGGCTCCTCTCGCCGAAGCCGAATTGAAACTTTATTTAATAAGTTGATGTTATTTGTTAACTGCGCGAAGGGCGCTTCGAGAGCTCGGCTGAGTTATGTGGCTGGGATCGAGGAACTGGAGGCACTGCATCTAATGCGGAGAAACAGCACTTGTGCTGGGCAGTGGAACCTGCCTATGTGCATACTTCATTCGGTTGTTCTTGGATTAATACAACATGTTTTTACGAAATCAATATTTTCAGAACAATAATGATAAATCAACTGATTCATTATCTCGAAATGATGTTGCTTCATCCTCATATAAAGAAGGATTACATTTAAATGCTATCCTTGGTTGGCTCCTCTTGGACTGGCGGTGACCGATAGTGGAGTTCACTTGCGGACGCACTTGACCCCATTGGGATCGGGACTCGACCGGACCTTCTCCACCTGGCCAGTCCTGCGGCGATTTGTGCGTGTGTCAGGTGATCAGGTGATCAGGTGAATTGCATTAGAAAGTTGTGGACGGAATCGGCGGACAGATGGCGGCTGGCACTTTAATCTGAGCCGCGGCACACTTGCTGACAAATTGCTGATAAATAAAGCGAGAGATTTGCAATAATGCCTTTCTAATTTCATGCGTCGCCAGCGAGTCGACTCCGCTCCATTGGCGACTCCTTTTGCCATTGGGCATGCAAAGCGGACAAAAAAGCAAAGCTCCAATCCTGGCATGTGGCGCCTCCATTGAGATCGCAGCTCGGTCTGTGGCCACGGCTCAGTTTTCAACATTTTCCACACGTAACGCGAAAGTTTGAATCATTTGTCCAGCGCACTACGCAGCGATTTTCATTTAAAATTCTTGTCACAGACATGTAATTGCAACGCGCCAACGACATCGTCGATTCCAACTGCAACTTCGATCCGACTCCATCGCTGTGGGCAAGCCAACAGCACTGGGAAAAATGCATAGTACTTGGTTTGCTTTTCAAAAGCAACATAAATATTTCACACCATATTGCAGCGAAATTTCAACTGTCAGTGTCACAGAAAAAATTTGGAAATCAAAAAGATTAATTTCATATTTAATATTTCTAAAATCGATGTTATAACAGAAATTAAATTTTTCATTATATTTTCTTTTTATAATTTTTTCTTCTTTGTATTTTATTAATTTGGCTGCTTTTGCCACTCCTTATTTCTTCGTGTGCATGCGGATCTGTAGGCTATTGACAATATGTTTGTCAGGCGCGATGGCCGCTGCTGCAGCACTGCTCACCCTCACCCCCGCCCCCGGTCCTGCCGCACTCCCCCAATCCCCGCCCCTGGCCCCTGGTCAGTTGCCCCGCGCCCCTTGCCACATCTTGTGGCACTCTGTGTTGACACAGATAAGTGCGTGGCGGCGGCGATAAGTAGCGTTTTATGCATTAATTTCAGCTCAAAAGAGCATTATTTATTACGCATTAATGCGCTGAATTAACGTTTATTTAATTAATATTAATGCGACTGCCGCTCTTGCTGCCACTTGCTGCTGCTGCTGCTGCAACACTACATGTTGCAGTTGTACTGTATTTTGGCATAGATTTTTGGGTCAGAGCAGTCCTGTTAAAGATTGCCAATAAACGGTTAGTTAACTCGGTAACCTAGTCATGATTGCGATTTTAGAAAGGAAGCCTTTGATGTGCTATTAATTCTATACAACTTTTTAGACATTTTTTGGGAAATGCTTAACAAGAGGAAAATGTTGGAAACTTTTTAGTGATGTGTCACAAACTTGTACATTCTTTATCTGCCATGATCCCTCGACAGTGACCCTCGAAGTTGTGCAAATACTTTACCACAAATCGAAGTGGCCGTCGATCCGGTAACCGAAAATGAAAATGAAATTGAAATCGAAAGTAAAGTCGTCAGGCAAATACCAAATACATCATTCGCTCGCCTCGAGATATCCGAAAGGAAACGGGCGTTTCGATGGGCAAATATTTGCGAGCCAACGATAAGGGCTCTCTTATTTTTATTTCGGGGTAATCGATCAGTGTCATGCGGGGGCGGGGGCGTGGACCTTGCAACGCAATAAACCCAGTAATTTATAGACCAATCACAGGCCCATTGCACGCACCGCGAACAAGTGAAAAAATCATAGTCCAAACACACATAACGCATTAGAGGCGGAAGAGCAGAAGGAGATGGGGATGGGGATGGAGTTCGAGTTGGAGTCGGAGTTGGAGTTGGAGGAAGACTTGGACTCGATGGACTTGGTCTGGGGATGGGGGTGCAATTTATAGGATAGACAACGCACAGCGGGCAGTCGCGAGTCCCGAGGAGCATCATCCCAGTACTTGCCTCATTGCCAATTGATTTATACAAACGGCAAAGCAACGGAACACAAATTGGCTGCCTCGAAGATCTCTCTTCTATACTCCAAGCTATTATTTGGATTTCTTTTCGATTTTTTTTTGTTGTTGTATTTTTTTGTTTTTTGCCGCAAACTGGCTATGGGAAATGATTTGTTGCACTTTGGCTGCAATCACAGAGACGCTAGGTTGCGTATACGCAGAACTCTTTGGGGCAACTGCTTAACCCTGTGACCTCCTCGCTGGGAGGGATTCGATGGGCTTTAAAAATAAAAATAGGAACTTTTGAAACTGCCAGCACACGTGTGGCTCGTTGGGGATTTCCTTGGAAGACCGCCTTAGATATCATCATCATCATCATCGTTGCTTTGCATGCCGACTGCGTAGCTAATTAGATCCTTAAATGGCCAGAGCAAGGCAATCCCCCGGCGGAAAGTGAGATTGCCGCCAATCCGGCTGGCTGGTCGGCTGGTCGGTGAGCCAGGAGGCGTTGGCAAAAAATGCCACACAAATGACGAGCGGACCCGTTGACCGTTTTTGGTTTGGAAATCGAAGTGGCAACGGGACGCGGCTGCCAACAGCAAAACACCAGTTTATCGGGCCGAAACGGCCCCAAAACAATAAATTACGCAATCCAAATGCTCAACTGCAGTCCATCAATGGCATAAGGAGGCAGTCTCGAGATTCAGAGTCCCAGTGCCAGTCCCAGTCGCAGTCGCAGTCGCAGTCGCAGCGTGGATGCATTACCATATCGGCATAAATTCCGGAGCACATCGTTAAGTGGGCTGACGAGTGGCCGGCATCGGAGAAGACGTGTGCTGCAGCTGGAACAGGTTGTCCGGCGTCGTGTGTTGCATGTTGCAGGTTGCTGGCTGCTGCCGCTGACTGCACACTGCACACTTGCCACATGCCGCATGCCGCATGCCAGGCTGCAGCCGCCAAACTCCCACAGCTAATGAGGGAATTACCCGCACTGCCAATGCCATATCGTCATCACCATCGATAATGGCTTCTGCCCGGCCTCAGGCGGGGGTTAAATCAGTGGGCGGTGGGCCTGACCTTTGGGGAATGGCGCCTGCTGCCCGAAGAGGTGGCTTTAACATGCCACGCCGAGAATTCCAAGTCAGGTCTTTAATGATTCTGGCATCTGTGGGCACAAGTCCATGGCCAAGCATTAATAGGCCGAGCTAGATGGGATAATTAACTTGAATCGCAATTGTGGAAACCATACGCCGAATAAATGAAAACGTTTTTACAAATAAACACTAATTGTATTACACAATGTGAAGGTGTTTCGTGCTTACTACTTCGGATTTTGGATTTACGATCGCAAATATTTCAACATGTGCGCAGATCTTCAAACATCTGCGATCGTAATTTTCTTAGAAAAATCTATAACCGGGTGCTTCCGGAGCAGCGGGTCTAAAAACGGTGGTTTTGACAGCAGCCATGGTGGTGGCCTCCATGGTGGTTTTAGTCCCTGCAGTTGTGGTATCATCACCACCCCACTCCGAAATCATGTCCTTGATGGAGAAGATGGTGCCTTGCACCAAGATGAGAATGCCAACGATCACATAAAATATATCCTTCACGAGCTTCCATTTCAGCTTGCCATAGTTATATTCCGGCGGATAATACAGACAGATCTCAATGAGAGCGGGAAATACCAGGTTCAACAGCGATATGGTAAGAGCTCCAACCAGCGACAGCAGAGGACCCAGATTCGGGGCAATAATCCCGGTTATGCCAACAAGAATCAGAGTACATAGCCGAACCATACCCTCCTTCAAACCCGGGTTTTTGAGCTCTCCGCTTTTATTCCAAAAGTGGTTCATTATAATGTCAATGATCACGAAGCCGGCCAATGGATAGGTAAAGAATATGGCCATGGCAATGAACGTTTTGGCAACTTGCGAAAGTCTGCGGGTTACACAGCATTGTAACTATTAAAAACAAGAGAGTTCCTCGACTATCAGATACCCGCTACTCAGCTGGTGGCAGTGCGAACGATATCGATAGAACTCATAGAAAGATATAGATATAGATTGCTATTCAAGTAGGGCTTAACTTACACTTCGTCTGTGGGAATGTTGAGCGAAATACTGCCATGAAGTTCGTCTCCATAGCGCCAGTAGCCCATGATACCAAAACTTACATACGAAATTATAACCAACAAAATGGCCCTATCGAGAACACCAAACCAACCGATGTAGTGGCGCGGCTTGGCCATCTCTGCTTCTATGGCCAGCATCTGGAAAAGCGTTTACATTTACACTTGTGGTAAGAATTGTCAAGCCTCGGGAATAGTTTAGAGAACTCACCACGCCCACCGATGTTATGGAGAAAAGTGCTATACCAAAAAATAATGGCAACTTTTCGATGTGACCAAAGACGATGTTGCGTTCCGATAATGGTGGCAAATCGACGAACAGATAGTACATCAGCATGATGAACCCAATATAGATGAGAATGGAGGCCAAGATGTTGAAAGGTACTAGGTACTTCAGTTTGCGTATCTGGAACGTTGGTATTAGGCAGACTGCGACCAGGGCTATATACATTCTCAAGTCTGCTTCTCCCCAGTAAAAATCGATCAGTTGCTTGAAGGTTGCGGCCACAAAGACATTGTACACGACACAGACTCCGAATTGCGAGAATGCCAAGACTCCATCGACTATATATCCTCCGGCCTTTGCAATGTACCTAAAGAACTTGGGTCCCTGGTTAAATGAGTATTCCATTGCGACTGGAAATGTGGCATAGCCAATTTGCATGCGACGAGAGCACTCCACCATGCAAATAATCTTCAAGCATGAAAACACCAAAAATATAACTTGTTTCAAGCGAAAGAACCTCCTAAACTCACCAGCATCTGCATTCCGTGGATGAGCATAAAGCATACCAAGACTAGCAGCACAACGCCATTGATCATGCCAGCATAATTAAAGGACAATGGAATGGCCAAGACTCCGGTACCCACGACGCATTTGAGAAGTGAAAAAAATGCCCCAAAGTCACTGCAGAAAGATATCAGAAATGAGCAACAAATGATATTCAGTTAGGTTGTTAGGGACTTACGATATGGGCTGCGCCACATTTCGATTCTCGTAAGGATCAAATCCACTGTGGAAGGAGTTCTTTAATCAGTGGTCAAAAGTCTTCATTAATCGTTACCCTTTGTCGGCCATGTTCAAATGTTTTGTCTATTTTGTAGATATGAATTCAAAGTTAATACTGTGTGTATATCGTAAAGATATGACGTTCTAAACAAAGTGACTTGAAATTAACAAAAATAAAAATAACTAGTTGCTGAATATTCAGTAACGCGTTTTATATGTACATACCTCTAGAGAATTTAAGAGCTTTGACAAATTTTAATTATCCAAAAATTATAAATTTATACATACATTTTTTCAACTGCACTAAAAGATAAGTATAACTTTTATCTGGAAATGTACAGCGTCTAGAACTTTTGCCTTACAACCGGATAGCGAGCGTAGAGGGTTCGTAGGGTTACCACTGTACCGGCCATTCCGCCAACCAAGCCCATACAAATAAATATTATGGATCGGATGAGAAAGATCCTTCCAGGGCCGTAGTCCGCCTCATACCGCAGACAGATGTCCACGATTCCCGGCAGGATCAGACCCAGTTGGGCCAAGCAAAAGGATCCCACGAAGGATAGCAACAGGCCAAAGTCCGGATACTGGATGGCCACCAGCACGGAGGCGATTACCAACGCAATTCTCAACAGGATCTCCACCGCCCGTGAGTATCTGTCCTCCAATTCCGGTTCTAAGTAATTCCGCCAGATAATGTTCACAGTGACGTATCCTTGCAGGGAATAACTGAAGAATATTGCCAGGGCAAACATACCAGTCACCAATTGTGGAAGTCTTGCAGAAAAGAGATGGCATTCTAGTTCATTGACTTACGATATCGGAAATGATAAATACCCACAATTCGTTTTGGGGCAAATTCTGCAGAATGGAGTTGGCCGTATTTTGGCCATATCGCCAATATCCAAAGAAGCCAAAGATCGCATAGAAGCTAATTACCACGATCATACCCTGATTCAGGATTCCACAGGTTCCCAACAAGTTTTCCGGTGTTCGCATACTTCGACCGAGGGAAAGGATCTGCAGAGAATGATATTTCCAACGAGCAAGGGAGATCTTAAAAGTAGCAAACCCACCACTCCAACAGATTCAATGGAAAAGAGTACAGTGCCAAAAAATATTGGAAAGTTTCTCAGCGGCTGAACGGCATTAAGTGGTTCAAGCTCGGGAAGATCACGGAATAGGTAGTTCAAAATCACGCAATATCCTACAGTGTCAGTAAAATAAGTTTGATAGGTAACTAGAGCATAACGGCTAAAACCCACCTGTTATTAGCAGAATATTAGATATTATTGCAAACGGCACAAGACTTTTGAGATCCCGAATTAAAAACGTAAGAATCAGTGGCGAAGCGATCAAGGCCATGTAAAGCCTGCCATCCCAGGCCCATAAATACATATCCCCCAGATGCTTCAAACTCTTGGCTATGAAAACCACGTAGACACAATCCACGCCGAAATGATAGGCACATAGCAATACATCCACTAAATACCTTAAGGATAAAGTTTAGAAAACATATAATATAAAAACTAGTCTTCACCGACCCAAAAGGCTTGCTCAGGAAATGAAACTTTCGTGGTCCTTTCATGATAGCCAGTTCCACTGCTTTTCGATAACTGATCATTGGCATTTTATGTTGGGTACCCAAATTATTGATATGATGAAGCTGTAAGGATAACTTTTTTATAAGAAGATACCAAGAAATGAGGGTGGGGACTTAACCAGTACATGCATGGCATAGAGCATAAAGAAGCTCAGTGCAAAAGTGCCAAAGAGACCAACTAACCAACCCGAATTCAGAAATGCGTATGGCATGGCCAAGCAACCAGTACCAAACCCACATTTTAGGACATTGATGAAGGCTTCCAAGTCGCTGTAAAAAAACTCTTAGGGTATAAGGTACTTGCTAAGAGATCTACTTACGACATTCCATTAACATTTTTCGAGGACAAACGAGCTTCATTGGCCAGCGGTGATCTATAAAAGATTTCCCATTACGAAACACAATCACTTGTTCCCGAGCTGACTTACCCGAAACTGTTTTGGACACCGCCCAGAAGTCTCTGGTGGAAGGGCAGCTTCTGGTCTAAGGGACTCCTCTTCTTATTCCCCATTTCAGGAAAATGAAATCACTTTAGAGGGAGTTATTATTATTATTAATCAGACGGAAAGTCAGCGCCGACTTTGGTCTGCAATTATGCAAATGCGGATCACAGCAGATTCACCTCGGGTTACGATCTCTGGGATGTGGTGGATGCCGGCTTCCAGGAAGGGTGAAGGTATTAGCATGGCCCTAAGCGGATATGCTTTCCAGGAAAGATCCAGTTCCTCCTGCGATGTGTGGGCGTTTTGGGCCTGGCCAAGGAATTCGCTACCTAAATTATGCACTCGCCCCGGGGTCTTGGGCAAACTAATTAGTGTGGCCAGTACGGGGCATTTTTCAATGGCCCCTCCACCTCAATTGGCACCTGGCCATAAATTCAACCGGCCTTGGGTCGGACAATCTACAGTTTCTAGTTAAGTCTGCCCACCTCTCAATCCCATTAGCATTGTGTGGGGCCAACTGGGGCCCGCTGTGAGCCACCACCTCCTCCAATCTTTGCAGTGCCGAATCGAAAATGCAAATGTCCCGTCCTCCAGGAGAAAAGTTGGCATTCCCGTGGGGCCAGAAGTCAACTAAGCAGATTTGTTTATTTTACTTTTCTTTCGCTATTTTTCTATATCATAAATAGTATCTTCCGATACTGTGTGTTCAGTAGTATACTGAATATATACTACTAGTAGTAGTATAGTAGTCTTCGTTTCATTTAAGTTAGACTAGTCTTCAAGCTGTACAATAATGTTATCTTAGTTACATATTTCGGTAAATATTTGTGTCAAGACAATGCCTTGGCTAGCCTGTGGAATACTATCCGCTTCGCTGGTGGCTACGTGTGGTCACGCCCACGTCCTCCTTTAGTTGATCCTTGTCGCCCCATCCCCAAACAGGATGTGATCCATCGCCAGTGCGCTGGGCTCGCTGCTTGACCAAATCGAGGGAGACACTCTTTAGATCGTAGGCCCAACCCAAGTAGGCCATGAATTCGATGAACTTGGTGGTCACATCCTGCGAATACTTGCCCAGCTCAGCACTCTTGTAGTCCCAGGGAAAGACATGGTGGTAGTTGTGGTATCCCTCACCAAAACGGAAAAATATGAGAAAGCTCAGATTCACAGGACATATGTTCTTATCGTAGGGTCGCATGCCGTGCATGTGGGCAGAGCTATTGACCAACCAGACGAAATGCAGACTGATGCACCACCGAAGAAGGGCCATCACGTGCCAGGACACGTTGAAGGACTCGCCCCACAGGAACATGGGCACAACGGTGGGCAGGAAAAAGCAAATGACTGGCATCAGGAGCAGGTAGTACTTCTTCTGGAACATGACCAGTGGATCGGCCTCCAGATCAGATAGATCTATTTGCTTGCCCTTCTCCACAACCGCCGGATGCTTTCGGCAGCACAACCATCCCATGTGGGCAAAGAACCAACCGCGATTGGAATTGTATGGATCCGCATCCGTTTCCGTATACTTGTGGTGCACACGATGATCCCGCGCCCAGTAGTAGACCGCATCCTGGAAGGCAAAAGTGTTCAGGAACAACAAGATCAGCTTCAGCGGTGTATTCGCCTTGAAGGTGCGATGGGCCCACAAGCGGTGGGCACCGGCCGATATTCCCAAAGTTGTCACCGCCACGGCTGGTATAAAGAGCAGAAACGTTGTCCACGTGGACGCCGTGAATAGTAGCCATAATCCATATAGAGAAGATATGTGAAGGATCACGAACAGCACAATATTTAACCAAACCAACTCCATTTTCGTGCCATCGGTGGCCTTCAGCCTGCCCAGATCCCTGGACAATCCACCGCCTACCGTCTGGACATCTGTTTCGTACAACACTCCGGTGATGTCTTCGCTATTGGATGGCATGTTGCTCTTTGTTTGAAACTCTCACTGGTTCTAGATTGGGCACCTATTTATTAGATACATGTACACAATACGTATGGCCCATTTTGACGGAGTGCAATTCAAATGCATTACCTACAGCCGCTCCGCTGCATCGCTAATTCCTTCCATGAATAAAAGAAGTTCGCATTGATTAACAACTGAAGCAAAGGCATGGAACGGCTTTGAATGCAACAAATTAAATTCATGAACGAATTCGAGCTTCGCATATACATTGTTGCAGTCCTGGAAAGCAATGTATTTGGGGCATACCGATTTAAATCGCGGTCAAAAGAGCTGCTAAATGGTACAAAGTTGTACATTTCCTGCCCTTTAAGGGCTCTTTTAATTTGCATCAGACGAGTATTAGCATGCCCTTGTCAGCTATAAATTTCAAAATTAAAGCATTTCAAAAATGTCTAGCAAGAACTAAAATACTTCGAATGCTTTTTTTATGTATTTATATATATTCGAAAGTTTATACACGTTACTTGTAGAGTAAAAGGGTATACCAGATTCGTTGAAAAGTATTTAACAGGCAAAAGGAAGCGTTTTCAACTACATAAAGTATATATATTCTTTTTTTTTTTTTAGTTTTTTTTACATTTTTTTGATGTGGAAATTCAAAAAAATTAAAAAATGTCCCAGGGCTGAAGTTCTAAACTCCATAACTCAACTTATCTTAAAAGTGGCATACCTCAAAATGTTTCTGGCGAAATTATCTAAGAAACTGCATTCAAATTTAGAAATTTAATTTTTTTTAGTTTTTTTGTAATTTTTTTGATGTGTGATGTTCTAGAAATTCAAAAAATTAAGATATGTCCTTAGGCTGAAGTTCTAAACTCCATAACTCAACTTATCTTAATCGGATTTTGAAGTGGCATACCTCAAAATGTTTCTGGCGAAATTATCTAAGAAACTGCATTCAAATTTAGAAATTTAATTTTTTTCAGTTTTTTTGTAATTTTTTTGATGTGTGGTTCTAGAAATTCAAAAAATTAAGATATGTCCTAAGGCTGAAGTTCTAAACTCCATAACTCAACTTATCTTAATCGGATTTTGAAGTGGCATACCTCAAAATGTTTCTGGCGAAATTATCTAAGAAACTGCATTCAAATTTAGAAATTTAATTTTTTTCAGTTTTTTTGTAATTTTTTTGATGTGTGATGTTCTAGAAATTCAAAAAATTAAGATATGTCCCAAGGCTGAAGTTCTAAACTCCATAACTCAACTTATCTTAATCGGATTTTGAAGTGGCATACCTCAAAATGTTTCTGGCGAAATTATCTAAGAAACTGCATTCAAATTTAGAAATTTATTTTTTTTTAGTTTTTTTGTAATTTTTTTGATGTGTGATGTTCTAGAAATTCAAAAAATTAAGATATGTCCTAAGGCTGAAGTTCTAAACTCCATAACTCAACTTATCTTAATCGGATTTTGAAGTGGCATACCTCAAAATGTTTCTGGCGAAATTATCTAAGAAACTGCATTCAAATTTAGAAAAAAAATTTTTTTCAGTTTTTTTGTAATTTTTTTGATGTGTGATGTTCTAGAAATTCAAAAAATTAAGATATGTCCTAAGGCTGAAGTTCTAAACTCCATAACTCAACTTATCTTAATCGGATTTTGAAGTGGCATACCTCAAAATGTTTCTGGCGAAATTATCTAAGAAACTGCTACTAAGAATTTAATTTTTTTCAGTTTTTTTGTAATTTTTTTGATGTGTGATGTTCTAGAAATTCAAAAAATTAAGATATGTCCTAAGGCTGAAGTTCTAAACTCCATAACTCAACTTATCCTAATCGGATTTTGAAGTGGCATACCTCTAAATGTTTCTGGCACAGTTCTCTAAAGAACTGTATTCAAATTTAGAAATTTATTTTTTTTTGTAATTTTTTTGATGTGTGATGTTCTAGAAATTCAAAAAATTTTAGGTTAGCAGAAAAGTTTTTGTTTTTTGTCATATTTAACGAAAACTAAGTTGCTGTTTGATTTTTTCTGCGTGCAGACTGTAGATGGTTGATGTGGCTGCTGCTGCCGTTGATGTTGATGTTGCAGTTGCAGTTGCAGTTAGATGTGGCGCATCATTAAAGTGCAGACAAATGGCAGCGCGGCATGTGCGGCATATGTCAGGCTGCACAAGCTTTAGCAACAGGTGAAAATGCTGGAATTCTGATTATCCACCGCTGCTGCAGCTGCAGTTGCTGTTGCTGCTGTTGCTGCTGTTGCTGCTGTTGCTGCCGCTGTTGCTATTGCTGTTGCGGTGATTGGCAGCAACTTAAACTGTAACTTTCAACGATTTGTCGTTGTCGTCGCTGTCGTTCTCTTGGCACTGGCACTTTATGTTAGCCAAACCAAAACTATCGGCCGGACAGCGTGCAACATGCGCATAATTATCCAAATGCCCCACTGGCAACATGGGGTGCAACATTCCACCGGCCACGCCCCCAATTCAATTTACAGCCGGAAGTGTGGGTGTATACTTATTTGATATACATTCGCGGTCTGTTCGTGTTGCCTGTTCTCCTTTCGCAAACTCATTTGCTGGTTCATAAATCATAAATCGCAGCGGCAGCAGCGGCAACTCCCGCATAAAACGTAAAAAACCCAAATCAACAGGCGGTTTGAAAAACGCATTTAATGATTGGCGAACAGCAGCAACATCGAGAGCAGCAGCAGCAGCAGCAGCAGCAACAGCCACATAATAGGCCCATCTAGAGGCAACATTCGCGTACCAGCAAAAAGTGGGAGGATGCAGTGAATTTTCCCTCGCCCCGCAGTGATGTTTTTTTTTTTCTTTCTTTAATGCCATTTGTTGCTGCCGCAGTAGATGTTGCTGCTGTGCTGCTGCTGCTGATGCTGTTGTTGTCGGGCCGTTTGCCTTTTTGGGGCCCGTGAGGCATTCGCCTAAGCGGCAGGTTCCTGTCTGCCCCATCCAGAGCGACGTTGACTGCATTTTTAAGCGCGCTCCGCGCATAAAATAAAGCCAGATTGCAGGTCTCTGCCTCGGGGCCATCATCCTCCTGGTTTGGCTTGAATGGGGCGAGTAAAAGTGCAGGATGCTTTGTTGTCCTGCCCCTGGACGCAGCCCAGCCAAGAGCCCAAACTCCACTCGGAAGCGCTTCTGCAGATACGGCAGCTAATTTTCGATGGGCAAAAAAACCAAAACACAAAAAACAAAAAAAAACACAAGAGAAGCATCTGAGATCTTGGAGCGATAATGATGCAGGTTAATCATTAGCCTGGTACGTGTATTATGCGATTATTAGTTGGGTGTTCGGCTTTGTTGCTGCAATCTTCCATTTTGCGGGGATTACCCGCCAGCCGTAATTTTTTGGTGGGCGTATGCTCTGCTTTTCGAGAGTATTCCTTTCAGTAATTTCCAATTTCCGCTGCAATGTTGCATCTACATGCGGCCAATTTGTCAACGCGGCGGCAGCATGTTGCTGCAACATGTAAGTTGTCAACGTTTTTTAAGAATCAATTGCCGCCCAGCAGTAGTATAGTAGTACAGCCTCATAGCACTAGAAATCCGATCTCGCTGGACTCCGCCTTCTCGGCTGCCGTCTGTCAGCGTAGAGGATATAGCATATAGCTTATGGACCAGGCCAGACCAGCCGGATGCCACACAAGCGGATCGAAAAGGCGGCCTTGAACGGAGTAAGAGCCCAAGTACTTGGCAAAACTCATTGCAGAATGTAAATGAGCGCAGCACACACGCTCACACACACAGACACTCAGACACAGTTGGCCTCACAAATATTTTGAGGGCAAAAAGCCCGCTCAACTGACGTGCAACATGATTTTGTAGGCGTGCAACATGCGCATGCGCAACAGCCGCAACTTTATCAGATTCTGCGCTCGTTTTAGCATTATTTCTGTAAGTTTTTTCGCCTGCCTCGCCGGCATGTTGTTGACTGTCAATTGTTTGGTGGGCGTTGCAGCAGCAGCAGCAACAGCATCAGCATCAGCTGCAGCAGCAGCAACCAGCAACTAGCAACAATAGTCGGGGCAGCAGCAGCAACATAGACTGTCCCACAGTCTGCAGCCAGACTTTTGAAGCTATATCAATGTCAACAGCATTATCACACTACGCTGTCAATATGCAAATGCCCAGAGCAAACCCAGCGACAACAGCAACAAGCACTTGCCAGACCAAGTAGCAACAGCAACAGCAGCAACAACAACAACAACAACAACTGCAGCGGCAAATGCAGCAACAACACTCGCCAGCAAAAAGACAAATAAATGCTTGTTGCAGGCGATTGTTTTTCATGTGTGCGTATGTGACACTCGTTAACACGAAGCGAAAATGCGCGAAATGCGATATTTCACACGATTTATGCACGGACAACGACAAAAGTTGCAACTGCAAGGGGCAGCACCAGCAACAGCAACAACAGCAAAAGCCGCAGGAGCAGCAGCAGACCACACAAGTTGCATGTTGCCGGTGGGGCAGCTTAAGTTGCCGCTGCTGGCTGAATATGAAATACGCAACCCGAAAGCAACCCTCCATTTGTTCAACTTAATTTGGACTCCCAGGAAAATCGCTTGGAAGATGAGTTCTACTTTAGTATACCAGTAGTATAGATCATTTAGAGGTTGCTGACAAGTGCTGCAATGTTAATTGGCAGTTGCAAGTGCTGTCAATGCAGCTTAACACGGAAATATCCTTATCGTTCTATTTCCATGCAACAATAAGTAGATAATACAAAGGCAGATGCATTTGGATAATATTAGAAGCTGATAAGAACTAATTAGACCACTTGGATGTATCGGAGCTGCCACATTCCACAATGTTGCAATTGGCAACTGCAACGTGTGTCTGCGGTGGCAACCAGAAAACAGGCAACGAAGAGCCACAACAGTGTGTAAGCGTTTTTGGAGCGGGCAGCTGATTAGCCAGATCAGAGCTGCCAGGCCAACGAGTTGGCAATTGCTAATGGCCAAGTTGCTGGCGTGCTAATTTGACAGGCGGACCAAGTTTACA